GTCCGCCGCCACGAGCTCACCCTCTTCTGGACTGGGCAGCCCAGAGCCAAGACACCTGCCCGGCCTGTGGCTGGGCCCTGCAGCACCTACAAAGCCAGCTCAGAGCAGAAGCAAGAGGCCACGGCAGATGTCCTCACAGCCAGCAAGTTTGAGGGGGCCACTGACCAAAGGGCAGGGGACTTAGACAGCAGCCCGGGGGAAGACACGGCCGAGATCCTCACCATATCTGAAGACGAAACCAGCAGTCCAGAGGGCCACACTGACAGCTCTGAGGGCTGGAGTGACGCCAACCTGGACCCCAATGAGCTGCCCCCTGCTGTCTCTGGGGCCCCGGAGGAGCTGCTGCCCCTGGTGCCGATGGCCATGTTGATACCACTGATACCACTGATGCCACCCCCCTCCGAGCTGGGCCATGTGCATGCCCAGGCCCAGGCCCACGATGCCACCCAGCCCTGGGCAGGGCTCCACAAAAGGAAGAACCACAAGGTGAAGAAGAGCGTGTCAAGCCAGGCTCCCCTGTGAACCGGAGGCTCGAGGCGGCCGCAGTAGCAGACCAAAGCCACGCGTGGCAGGAAAAAACAAGGCATTAAAGAGAGTCCGTATCTACCGGGGGCTTCTTTGTTGCCAGGTCTGCGAGAGAGCAGGGACAGCACAATAAGCCTGTCCTCAGGGGCTGCAGGCGTTGGTGTCACCAAGTTGTGCAGGCGGAAAGGCTCAGAGCGGGCACACGATTTGCACGAGTTCACTCAGCAAGGCCAGGATCGGTTCCCAGGGCGCACTGAGCAGCTACTTCCCTCTCCCTGCCTGCCCAGCCTCACAACCAGAGTCCCAGCGCCTTAGCCCAGCAGCCAGCCCCCATCCCGTCCCCGCCTCCCCACCCCTGCCCCGTTGCCCACCTTCTCCCCATGCTCAGGTCCGACAGAACCACTGTCGTTCTGTGATCACCTCTCCCTTTGCACATGCTGTTCCCTCTGGCTGGGATGCCCTTCCCGCCTCTGCTCACTAGAAGATTCCAGCATGTCCCTGCATGCACAGTCATTCCCACTGGACATTATGCATGCCCTGCTGTTGCACCACCTGTGCTGGGCACAGGGGAGGCCCCTGCCCCGCTGAGGGAAGGCAAGATGGAGGACGAACAGGAAGCCAGCTGAGAATGGTCTCTGGAGTGGGGGGCGTGGAGAGCAGGGTCTGGGAGCAGGACCCAGGAGACCACGGCTCTGGTTCCCACTGCTCCCTCTCTGACCCTGGGTAATGGACAAGCCTCTCTGGGCCCCAGGAACCTCACCTCGTCCTCCTGCAGGCAGGGGCATGGACCTGGTGAGCGCCCAAGGACCCTGCAGGTTTTAGGCCACGTGTGCATTAGATGTTGCTTACTCAGAACAAACTCATTTTCTGAGGTAACACAAGGCTTCCTGGAGGAGGCCCTGCTGGAGGGCAGGGAATTACGTTGGAAGAGGCAGTGTGGTGCAATGGTCAGGGGTCTAGACCAGGGCTTCCTGCTGGAAGTCCTGGCTCTGCCACTGACTTGGAATGTGTCATTGGGCAAGCGACTCAACCTCTCAGTGCCTCAGCTTTCTCACCTGAAAATGGGACCATAGGCCTTGCTACCAGGCTGCTAGAAGTTTGGAGGAGGTGGTTTGGCCCAGGTAATGGACGCAGGTCCCTCCTAGGAGGAGCCACACAAATGTTGCATTTATGTCGCCCCCCTGAGGGAGTTCCAGCTCCTACCAGGCCATGGGGTCCACAGGTCCCCCTCACGCTTTTTACTCTGCCTGAAACTTTCTTTCTGCCTCTTCCTCCATCCTTCAAATTTTGGTCTGGCTAACTCCTCCTTCCAGCCCCAACTCAAACATCCCCTCCTCAGGACACTCTCCTTGGGGATCCCGGCCCCCTCAGTGTCCTTGCCTCCGTGGAGTGAGGGCAGGGACCTCATCGTCTTGTCCAGCTGTGCATTTTCAGGGCTGAGAGCAGGGCTGGGGTGTCGAAGGTGGAGGAGTGAGTGAACGAATGAAGGAGGAGCTGACCCAGCCTGCACTGTAGAGCAGGGGGTGCCACGAGGAAGGCTCTGCTGCCAGGCTCATGCCACCCGTTGGCGTGGCTGCCAGGCTCCAAGAGTCTGTCAGGCCCTGGGGCGGGTGAAGGGCTGCAGAGCGGTGGTGCAGGCGACGGGCTTCACAGAGATCCACTCACTGGGAAGGAAGCGCAGCCCCTTGGCAAGGCTGGGCTGAATGGGAGGGCAAAGGCCCTGGGCCAGGCCCCTGACCAAGGTGTTGGCAGCCCCTCCCTCCGGAGCCCGTGGCCATCTGGCTGGCCAGAGGGCCCGCCCCAGGCCTGGCTCAGCCCCAGGCTGGCAGCCTCCCTGTGGCTGACCTGCGTCACTGGCCTGCAAGCCCGACGGGAAGGGCTGCATGGACTCCAGGCCCTGGCCCCCTTGGCCCAGTGGGAAGTCAGGATGAAGAGCCCCCTCCCAGGCATCCATAATCAGGGTGGCTTCCAGGGGCAGCCTGGAGCACCTTAGAGCACCCTGGGAGGGGCTGGCTCCAACCTCGAAGGAGAGTCTCAAGGGAGAGTCCGAGCAGGGAGGCCTGCCCCTCCCCATCCATGCAGTGGCCTGATGGGGGTGAAGACCAAGAGAGCTGGATTTGCTCCTGTACTGAATCCAGGCAGGACTGAGCGGCCAGCTGCTGGAGGCGCCCTGAGTTACAGTACATGTGAGCACACATACACATACACACACGGGAACATATGCATACTGTATACTCCACACACACACACACCTGCACATGCACAGGTACTCATGTGCACATATGTCCCATACACATACCTGTACACACCCTTATGCATATCCTACAAGTGCACACCCCCATGCATGTGTACCCCTGTGCACACTCGCACTCACACATGTGCACCTGTTCTGAACACTCAGACACACCCTTGTGCATATATGTGTATACCCTACATGTGTGCACACACACCCCACACATGTACCTGCTTACACCTGCACATATGTACTGATCACACACACATCCTGTGTATACCCTACATGTGCACACAATCCCCACATACATGCATGCACATGTACTCACGTGCACACTCACACATGCACCTGCACTGATCACTCGCACACACTCTTGTGCACACTTGTGTGTATACGCTTTATGTGCACCCACATATGCACATGTACCCATGCGCACACTTGCACCCACACACATACACTGGTACAGATCACTCACACACACCCTCGTGCACACCGCACATGTGCACACATATATGTATCTGAGCTCTGCCCTGGTGCTGTTCCCTTCAAATCCAGCCCTTTCCCACCAGGCCTTCCCTGAGCCGGCAGGAATAGGTGTCCTACCCCAGGCCCATCCTTCCCTGGTGGGCCAGACACACAAACCTACTTCCAGGAAGGACTGGTCAGCAGCTCAGTTTGTAGCCTGGTGGAGAGGGAGTACGGGGGATCAGCAGCTGACTGAGATAGCGGCACGTCCTGGCCGTGTCCACCAACACAGCATTCTCGAGCAGCTGGTCTTTGCAGAGACGCGGCAAGCCCACGCTGGTCTGCAGGCTCTCCCTGCACCCTCTCCTGCCCCTGTTCTCCTGACTCCGCCTCAGCACTGCTGCCCAGGAACCCACCTGTGACAGAGGAAGCTGAGGCAGCCCGGCTCCCAGCGGCCCGCCCCAGCACTGGGTGGTGCTGCACCCAGTTGCCCGGCCTCCTCTTGATGGCCATGTTTAGCCCCAGCAAGTTCATGATTCAGAGCCTGGCTTATTTTAGCTGATACGAGGTTACTTCTGGAGCTTCTGGATTCCCTGGACGTTGAGAACCAGCAATGACCATGAGATCCTTCAGGCCACAGATGAGAAAAGGAAAGCCCAGAGAGGTCAGAGCCAGCCCAGGGTCACACAGCAATGAGATAGTAGAAAGAGAACACTGGTCTCCTGCCTCCCAGCAGCTGGGACCTGCAGTCACCCTCTGCTCCCAGCCCTGTGCACACCCTGGCCCCTAGTCCGTGCTCTCCTGATTGGAGCAACCCTGGGAAAACTGGGTCTTCCAGAACGGTCTCTGCCTCTTCAATAGGTATAGCTCTCCATTTCACTGAGAAGTACTTGTGTGTGCTATTCGGTAAGGTCTGTAATTCGCCACCAAACCCCTCCTTAGAGAGGGAGGGCCTGGCTTCAAAGCCATGTGACGCTGGACCACCGAGGCCATCCTCTGGGCCTCGTTTTCTTATCTGCAGGATGGGCGGCTAAGACTTACTTTGCTGTTTGTAGTAAGAACTAAGTGAGGTGAGGTAGGTGTACGGGCTAACATTCACTAAGCACGATGACAGGCCGGGTACACATCGTCTCGTTACATAATGCCCAGGTTTAGAGCAGTAGTTCCAGGGCGGCACTCAGTATGCCCCCAAATGCCATCTTTCCCAAAGGAGCTTGCTGAAGCGGAGGCGTCCTCTTCCCTGTCCAAGCCCAGCTGGAGGTGGTGTGTGGGCGGCGGGGCTCCTGCAGTTGAAAGTTTCCTGCTTTTTTTCCTCCCTGCAACCCTGAACTTTACATGCTCCTGTGCTGCCACCTGCTGGTCAGTAAGATAAGAACAGGCCAGTGCACACCATTAGGGGATTTGGGAGTGATTACCACCAGGTGCATTGTTTAAAATACAGCCAATAAACTACCAAGCAGCAGAGTTCTGAAGCCCCAGCTGGGCCCAGGGCTGACCTCGTAGGAGCCGGGCTGTGAAGAAATTGAGATGTTCTGGAGAGCATTTCGATCTTTTATGAAATGAAGGAGCCACAACGCCGCATCGCTGAACGCCAGTGCAGAGAAGCTGTGTGCCCTGGTGCTGATCCCACAGAATCAGGCCACTTATTCTAAGTGTGCTCAGGCCCCTGGAACCAGACTATCCCTTTCTTCTTTTCTTTTCTCCTTCTTCTTCTCCTTCTCCTTCTTTTCTTCTTCTTCTCCTTCTTTTCTTCTTCTTTCCTTCTTCTTTTTTTTTTTTTTTTGAGAAATTTTGTTATAGGGCATGTGTACTCACCAGAAAGACAGAAAGCAAGAAATCACCCCCCAAGGAGGGGGGCCACTCTACAGTCCTCTTTCCTTCATTTTCCTCTCAAGATACTGGGCACACACACGCACGCATGCCCAGCATGAGTTTTAAGCCACCGGGTCTGGGACTTGAACTGCAGTTGACTGTGTGGGAGTCCAGTGACGTAACCATTACGCCATCCCTTGGTCCCCAGACTATTCCTTCTCTCTGTGGGGGTGGTGAGGGTGGAAATGCTCCATCTTGTACTCCAGCTCCAGGCCAGAGCCAGTTCTTGTCCATGTAGCTCTGCGGTAGCCCTTCACACATGCGTGTGCACGTACCGTAGGTTCTGGAAAAGCTGCCGTGATTACTTATTCTGTTTGTAAGGAAAACCCTGCCCACTATTGCTTTATTTTTCAAATGCTGAGCTTTATCTGTGGGGTAGCCATTCCTGGGAGTCGGCCCTAGGGCTCTCATCTTGGGCTCTTATGGGTGTGTAAGCCTGAGTCCCAGCCTCATGCCTGACTCCTGACCACACCCAGGGTGGTGGGCAGCATTCTCGGCGAGGCTTCGAT